AACAGATATTTCCACCGTCGGTTACGACGACGCCCTCCAGAGCGATTGTTAATTCGTCGTGAAACTGTGAACAGCCCCCGAGAACAAAAGGATCGTCGTCCTAGTATTCGTTCCTTATCCACCTGAGTCTCATTCTTCCCGAGTAACTACCTTGTAGATGGCATAACAAACTGTATGCCCAACGTCCCCACCCGCAGAGCAAGCCATTCGAAATTACCATCTAAATTCAGACCAGTATTATAGTCCTCGAAGAAAGGACGGTTTCTCTGAAAGGAACCCTTCAAAATCATTACAAAAATTCCTCTTGTACAACCCCCTTACATCTACAATTACAGCTTATAATTGATCTTTCTGTGCCCAATGCAGTGAATCCTCGATGAGTGTTTGGTTAGCACAATGATAGAGCTAGAAATTCTGAAGCCAATGATATTTGTTTCAGTCGTATTTGGCAATTGGTATATAAAAGATTTAATGCTCAGTACCGAGGAATCTTCGAGCACTCGTCGAGGATTTGCTCTACTAATTTTTTGTTGTCCTTCTAGACGATATACTACAGTACCTTATATTGCAAGCAGTATCCTTTCGATATCACCACGGTTAATTCATGAAATCGAAGAAAAGAAGTCATCGTCTCGTGAGATCGCGGATCGTTTCAACCTTTCCACGGGCGGGCGTTAACGTGATTAATTTACGAGGCGAGCCATCCCCCTCTCGCGAGTCGTTGAACGGTGTAACTCGACGGGATCGGATAATTCGATGAAGTAATTCGGAATAATTGGCCGGCAAAACGGCAAGTTTGCCAGGAGAACGACGACAAAACGCGATAATAAGAAAGCTCGCGGGCACGGAGTGGGGGGGGGCGTAGACGGGAAACTGGCTTGGCCGGATATGCAATTAGCAGGTTCGAATCAACCGAGACACCGGAGAACGTCGTTAGATTAAGGAATTTCATTTGCCGCTGGCTGTTGGGGCTCCCGTGAATAGAACAACGAGACATGCCGTGGACTGTCTTGTTTCTCCGTCTTCGCCTGGACTCTGGGGGCCCACGATGAAAATTTCAGAGGACGTTGAAACGGTACAGAAGGATTAAGCGATTCATGGGGAAGATCAATTATCGATTTCACTGCAGAGTGTAGAGGGATTCTTGTGGATGGTAATGAGATGCATTGTAATTCATATTGGAGCTTTTAGTGAACTTTTTGATAAACAAGGAATTATTTGGAGTTGTTGCTATACGAGGATCTAGACTACTCGTTCTTTTTTTAACATTATATGTACCAACAATCTATTCACTTTTCAGGGATAATGATGATGTCTTTAAAATTTCTTGTCAGTGATCCACTACTTCCTTCGATTATGGGGCGATCATTTTAAGTTCAATATATTTTCTCGAATCATACATCGAGAAATACATACTTTACTAAACGATGTAAAGACGAGAATTATATTCAAGATGGTGAGATAACAGCACGCAAGAAATGATAAAGAGGACAGAAGCTTGATAAGAAGCAAAATTATTAAAAAGTCTGAGATGACTCAAATTACTATTATAAAGAGTTATTGAATCATATCTAACACTTTTTCCTCCTCATCTACAAACACCACTAACCACCCTACAAACCCCAACGACTCAAATAAGTACACAACATTCATTCCAAGTGAATTCGGTCCACGTCTGGGACACCCTCGAAGAATATTGTCAAGTTGTTAGAGAACTCGGAGTCACTTAGGGTAACCGAAGCAGAGAACACCTGTAGTTTGAACTTCCTCATAAGACAAACTCTTGGTCCGCCGAGTCAATAGTGGTGGTCCCTTGCAGTCAAGTTTCAGCCGAGTGGAATTCGACTCATCGTTACCACAACCCCCACCACAATTAACGTCTTCTAAAAACATTTTCCATAACAATATTTCGAAAACCACAACCCTACGAATCCCTTCGAGAACCATCCACGATCGAATCCAAAGAAAAAACGGGACCACGATCCATCCAAAGACGAATTCGAAGCATCCAACTCGGGTGAGAAACAACGCAGCCAGGGACAGAGCAATCCTTTCAACGTGAACGCTCATCCCTTTCCGTGGGTTCGATTCGTTCGTTTCAGGGCGTTGCAACGAATCTTGCGGGAACGTCACGAGCTCTTCCCCCTTCCTAACCAGAATTGAATTAGATCACAGGAGAAAGGGAGAAGACAGGGGAGATCGGTAGGACGTGTACAAAGTCGAATTAAGAATTTACTACGGAAGTTTCCCTTAAGCAGCGCATCGCTTTTCCGGCGAACTGGAGGGGGTACGGAAACCCTGTGGAAAATCACTTGCAGGGCGAACGGAATAAGTGTATTGCGTGGCAACGAGCCGCGCATTCGTATTCCTCTGTTTCTCGTTCTTTATCCGGCTGGCAGCAACAGCCGGCCGAATAAAAGAGTGGAGGGGAGAAAGATAGAGACACAGAGACGCGTAACCGCAATTACCAGATTAAAGTCGAGATACTTTTTCTTCGGTTACTCTCTTTCTGTTATTTTTCTTTTTCTTTCTTTCACGAACGACTTCTTCGTTCCATCGAGACATTGGATGAATCGTGGAGCACGCTTATACGCCAATATTACGTCGTACCAGGGGAGGAATGGCACCTTTCACGGCACATACCGAAGAACAAAATTCGTCCCCGCCACTGCTAACTACCACACACTCGTTCATGTTTTATCCATAAATCTTGTTGTTGTTTTTTTTTTCTTTTATTCATTCTTCCTGCCTTTTTTCTCACTCCTGACAAGGAACAAACCCCGGGACACATGCAAGAGGGGGAAAAAATACCTGAGCGCAATTAGCAGATTGAAGTCAACAAAGTTTTCGGGAACGCAATGGTCCGGGGGATGATGAAAGCGGCGAACACGCGTACGGTAAATTATTTCTCGAAACTTGGGGGTGGCAACGGCTCCTTTCGCGGGGGAATTTGGGGAACGAAAAAGCGGAGAGAAGGTAATGGGGAATATTAACTTTTCTGAATGGGAATGCACGATGGCCAATTTGTAGATTACTTTCGGAGTTTCGCTGATGTTACGGGAGGGAGGAGGGGGCGGAATACGCGACAGAGAATGGTAAAAATGCGTTTTACAAATTGTTGGTGCGGAAAGGAGAAGAAGCGATTAAAATGTATTCGATGAATAGAATGGTAGAAATTGAATAAAAGTTTTCACACCTAATTATTATTGCAGAAGTTTGTGAATGAATGTGTGAGTCACTGTATATCGATACATGAATTATCGTGGTTCTCGATTGTCGTGTAGAACGTGTTGAATCGATTCAAGCTTATTAGTGGAAAGTACTCTCCAACCATTTGTGTGTTCCATTTTCGAACCGTATACAGATCGTTCACGTGGAGGAAACAAGAGAATAATTGTGGCCGTAACCGGAACCATATTTAATCGGTACACTGTGAATTTTATGGATTTACGAACGATATGCAAAACACGAAAAAATTGTTCGGAAAGCTGAGTATAATATGTACTTCACTTTGAACTCAACGAAACTTTCAATAAAGCAAACAAACTTTCGACATAATTTCAATTCGATATTAAAAAAAAAAAAAATCAGTGTTTACATAGGAAATACTGATTCTCCAAGGAACTTCCAAACACCGAGAACCCATCAGTTCACCGATCAATTTTCCAACCACTTTAACTCTAGGGTCAACCAACACCGTCGAATCACTATACTCTCCCATTCAATCCAGACAACGATAAGAAATATGTATTAATGAGTCGAGTTCCGTTCGAACTATTACTATAAAATCCAAGTCGAGCGCAAACACGCAATTCTCTGCAATCCCGCCCTTCATCCCTCGCTCAGAATGACTCATCCGTACCGCCCATACGAACGATGGAAAAGCAGACGCGTATATGGGGTGGTTGGCCGGAAATATTATTCGCCTTCCATCAGACAACGATCAAACTGGATTTCAATATTCCTCGAGGATCAGAATCGTGACGAAGACAGAGAAGCTTGTTTGGTTACCAAGCCTGGAACACGATCTGAGCATCCCTTGGGGTCTTTCTTCCACCAAAAACTGCTGAGTATGTGGTGTAGCACGTTATACAGACTGAATTCCGTCGTTCACTCCGATTTGTCCCCGTAGCTCGCCTCGTTCCCGCGAGTCATTCAACCGGAAAACCCAAGGAGATCGAGGACGAGCCGATGCGAAAGTCTCTGGGACCATCACCAATAGGATCGACGCTGGGAAGTCGTAGCGGATCGAGAAACTCGTTAAAGAAGCTTCGACGGAACGATCTGGGCACAACGGTTCTACGGACACCGACGGAATCCAAGCGCGGGCATTAGGCGAAGTTGAGGGAAAAATTGGCAGATTCCGGGGATTGGCCGCGGAAGTGGCCCAGTTAAAGGGAGGAGGCTAAGTGGTACTTGGATGGAACTTGCATATTCCAGTCCAGAAATCGGAAGGTTCTCCTAGAGATCCAGTGTGATCGAAAGGGACAGAGTCAGACTGGGGTGGGGGGGGGGGGGGGGGGGGGGGGGGGGGGGGGGGTGAAATTGAAGAGGACCCATTGGTCCCGCCTCGTAATCCGAAAGGGATCTCCACGGGGGCGGACAAAAGTCCACCGTAACGACACGATTCCTGCCGACCGGCGGAACGGGCGTTAAACGACCCCCATTTCGGAGGTTCCAGGTAATCCCCGGCCCTTCTTCCTGCATCAGCAGAACCTCCAAGTTTCCGGGACGATCGAGTGGAACGAAGGTAGTGAACCGGGGAGGGAACTTTCAAAGTCAGGAACGCGTTCTCCAGGGGACCTGGGACGCCTCTTGCGCTTTTAGGGTAGCTTTCTCAAGAATCATTCACCGTCAACCCCTCATAAATCCTCAAACTTTTTTCACAGGATCGTATATACGAAAAATGTACAACCGTGAGAAAGTCTCGGATCCAGATGATAAAATTGCTCTCGACACACTTGACGTATCCATGTCTCGATCACTGATGAGGAACTTACCCCCCACTATCAGCAGCAGGTGGAACAGAGCACGTCGCACTTTCCCGCACTTCCGTCGAACGTCTTTATCCATTCTGACCGGTTCCTGTCGCACTGGACGTGGACGATGACCCCCCGTCGATGGTCCCGTCCTCAGGGTCCCCAGGTAAGAAAATATCTCCGCGACACGACGATGTCAGTCGACACACGTCGCGCGGGCTAGTGTCATCGGGACCGTTGTACGGTCCCAGTGGAACCGGTACGAATGACGGTGAACAAACGACAGTTCCCCGACGGTTACTGTCGGTATATCCCGGCGAAAATCCGTGAGTACACAACACCGTGTGACACACACACCGTGCGAACACCGCCACGACTATACCGCACGAGGCCACGAGCGGACGCGACAGTTCCTGACTTGCAACTGACGAGGGATGCTGCACGAAGAGTTTGCGCCAGCCTCGCGCGCGCGCACAGAATCCTTACTCCCCTGCGCTCCTGGCACCCTCGGTCAGTTAGTCAGCGTCCCTCTCTTTCTCTCAATCCCCTATTCCATCAGAGCCAATCCCTCTCGCTCTCTTCTTTCTTCTTCACTCCCCTATACCATCGTTCGTCGAATCCTAGCCTTTATCCCCTTTCCACCCCTTTCGAGGTATCGTCTTTCCATCTCCGTCTCGATATCAACACCCCCCCGTGAACCCTCTACAACGTCCATCCCTCTCTTTCTATCCTGTATCAACGGTGAATCTCTTTTCACCCTTCAGTCAGTCTCTTTCGAGTCTCTCCCTATTATGCTTTTTCCGCTTCCACGCCGTACTGTCACGAGCGGATATAGTGCGTCTCTTTTCGGTTCGTTTTCACTATTCCCCTCTTAGTTAACCCACACACCCACCTCCTCCCTGTCCTCCACCCCTTCGTTTTAACCCCTGTTGTTCCCTTTCTCTCATCCGATCATGCATCCCAACCCTCACGCGCATCCTTTCGCCGGCAGTATCTCAAACACTAAAGAGTTTCTTAGGAAATTGAATTGAACCCCCCCGTTTCACCCTCTATTCAACCCACCCCCTTGTGCATCCCACGGTCCTTGTTATTTCTCTTCTTGTCGTACCAGCTTCCAGACGGTTGTCCCCTCCCATCCGTAGCCACGGTTGTTTCAGGGGGACCTTCGACGATCCGTCTTCGTCTCGTTCCACCCTGTCTCGCGTGTCTCGCCAGGAGCAGCAGCCGCCCTCGATATCCTCTCTCCCTTTAACCGCCCATCGTCACCTCGGCCGCGCCAGCTTCCCCTTAGGAACTGATTGTCTCGCCGTTAAGCGGCAATTTATATGTTAACAGGGCCGAATCGGCTGAGAGTCATGCATACGTTTAAGAAACGGGGCGGGGGGTGTGGAAAGGGGGTGGAGGCTCGCTGGGTGAACGACGGTCGCGTGACGATGTTCCCGCCCGACACTTCGCTCGTTAGTCGAGTCAACGATCCCCCCTAACCCCCTTCAACGATACGAATCTCTTCCTCCATCGAGACTTCGTCCCCCCATGTTACCCACCGGCCAAACCACCATTTTGGTTATCGGTTACATGTAAATTCGTGCGGGTCGTGTACAAACATTTTCGTCGGTGGAGGGGGCAGAGGGTAGGCGCCCCACGGGATTAAGGGAGGAATAGGCTCACTTAAGTTGGGGGTGGTTCCCTAGGATTATCCTCGAATCTGTTCAGAGGTCATCTTGATTACCGTTTCAATTTCTATGAATTAATACTCCCACCTCTGTTGTAATAATTTACTAATAGTTATATTTCATATAGACAGAATCGGGTTGACGTGAATTACCCCGGACGTTTAAAGGTCTATAGAATTTCTGTAAAGTTTGAACACTATTATTACGATATTATGTATTATCGCTTCATCGCCCGGAAACATTCACAGTTACTGTTTTATATTAATCGCTACATTATGGTGCGTTGAATGCAAACAATGTTCTCGCCAAGAACACGTATTGTTCAACGGTACCGCATTTTACAACACGGGAATTCGACGGTTATTAATTAACCGTTCTCGCGATCTTTTGTGCAACGACTATTTACGCGTGGTGAAACTATATATTTCACGAAATCATTGTCGTAAATACGCGACCATCCCCTCGAACAAATCGATTCGCGCCGCGAATCGACGACGACGGGGGCATAAGATCCCATTTCCGGTCGTAATGGCCCGGCGGATTTTCGCCGCGTCAGGACCAATGAAAAGCTCGATGATAAAGTGACGCGCGAAAAGCGGCGGCGTGACCGTGAATTTAATTTTCCCGGACGTGATCGCTCGCTCGCGACACGCACACGCCCCGGGAAAGTTAGATTGCTCACGCTGTCGCGAGGGAAGGGGAGGGTAGGGGTTGAGCGACACGCTCGTGGATCAAAGCCGGATCGAGGGCGCGGCGGCCAAATAGAGAGGCATTAGTGCGTCTGCACTGTTTGAATCGCACATTGACACGTGTCGCCTACCTGTAGTGTCGTCTGTCGGATTAATTCCCTTTTGGGACCATGGATCACGTGTCCAGTTTCTCCACGGAATAAATACACGTCCTTTCATTTCGAGATGAAAATAATTGGCTGTGAATTATTCCTGAAGTAGTTCCAGACTTCTTCGATCAGCCCACCCTTGTTCGATACATTTCACTGAACGAATTTTCTTAGATGAATGAGCTTTCCAGAGAATAATACGAGCATCGTGATTGGTTATTGGAAATTTTGAAAGTGAAACGTAAAATGAAGACGAATGTATCTTTGATGTAAAACAGTTGGAAGTAGATTCAGGATGTTTGTGTATTTATATCGTCTCTTAAATTCTCTTTTCTAAATCTCCTTCGTAACGAGTGGATGAAAACGTGTATTATCTGGCAAGTGTAATAGCTTTAGATATCGATGAAATGTAAGCCAGACAAGTGGAATAGGTACACGTATGATCAGACAATTGTAATAAATTGTAAACACTGGAATGAAATCGATGCATTCTGACAAAGTGAAAATCCAGTTTTTCAAGGTGTAAAAAATTATCAACTAAGCAGTGATTCTATTCTGTAATCGGGTAAGTACTAGAATGAACATACTTTTCAGTCTCCGATAAGAGCATCGCGAGTTTCGCGTCCTTTCGTCATTTCAACAGCGCGCTAACAACCCTTCGCGCACACCGGCATCGAATCCCATTCCGTTTGGACGTGACGAAGCGGCACGTGCGCCCTACCAGAGTCCCCGAAAAGTTAAATTACACCCCCGCGGGGCGTTTCCGTCCTTCTCGCGAACGCCTGAAATCGAACAACAGCGAAGAGACGGAATAAGAAGGGGTTAGAGGGCCAGCTGTAACGTTCAACGGGAATTACGTTTATAACCGTAAGGGGTGTGCTCGAATTGACCCTCGAAACATTAACTTCCACGGTTCTACGCCGGCTGGCTCCGTGCGCGAACTCGGATAATCCCTTCAACTTTTAACGACTCCGATCACCGCCGTTATTTTCACTCGATCCACCCATCCCCACACCACCACGCTGGAGCAACCCCTTCGTGACTCCCCACCCTTGGTTCCAGCAAGTGAAAATACCTGCTTCGCGGTCAACGTCGAGCCAATTCGTGCGCCACTGCGGCGAAACTTTCACGGAGATTCTCCATTTTTCCCTCCCCCTTGATCCAGCAGGGATTAAAAACCACCCCCTACAGAATCCACTGTAACCCGCAACCGTTATTTCCGACTTAAATGATCTAACGATTGTTTTTTGAATTCTGGTGACAATTGATTTTCTGAACGATTATTTGATTGGTGACTGGGAGAAGTTACAAGGAAAGGAGCCGAACTGTCAGACTTCAATTTTAACAGGGTTTTGGAAGATGATAATAAACGGATTCCTCATGAGTATCTATACATAATATTTCACATATATTATTAGGAATCTGTTACTATCATCTAACAAAAACTCTTTAAAATCGAACAGTCCTTCCCTTGTTAGAGGTTTGTTGAATTTAACTGAATTGTCTCTTTGGTCACCGAACGTTCATCCAGGGATGAGTGATACAGATATTTTTCACTTCATCATAACAACATGATGCCAGTCAATTATATCCTGGAATACCGTCTGTGCACCAAATGTACGCGATTCATCTATCAACGTCACTGTCAACAACATAATTGCTAACCGTTCCACGCTATCGACACGATTATTGCCGAATGTACCGAATTTCTTAAGCGATCCAGATTGCCCCACGGGGATTGCTAGAATGCCACAACTGCATTAACCTAAACCTTCGATCCTACCCTGTACCAAGAACAACAATAGCGCGCGCGCAAATGCTTCCAGCACGTTTATCGTCTGATAATCTGCACGCGTGCGCGCGCGTTCACAACAACGCCTGAGAACGGACCACCACTCAGCCCTCTGCGCTCGGTCCTCGGGGCTAACAACTTTAAAAGTTCCGACTAAACGAGAAATTGCATTAAATTGCGTTTTCGTAGAACCCTTTTCGAGCGCTCCAACCTCCACAAACCGCCACCCGATATCCCGTCGACTGGCCACGACGTTAATGCTCCTCCTGAGCCGCGATAATCCTCCTCGAATCACGAGCCACGACGGACCGTGTGTCGTCGGAGGCTGAACTCGTTCTCCTCGACAGTCAGGTGATCCGTGATTTCGAAAATGCCATAATTAAAGACGATTCCACGGTCAACTGTTTCCACGTGCATCCGATTCCTAATATAAAATACCTACCTACTGGAGGTTCGTGGATTTTCTAGAGATCCAAGATTTTATAGATTTCCAGTAGATGGAAATAATTAGTATTTGAATTAGTATTTGAATTGGATTATCAGATCGGAAAAGAATAAAAAAATTCAGTGATTCTGGGGTGTTACATTATTGACATTTTCTTTAGATATTTTCAGTCGGTTTATTGTCCGCAAACGCAACGATGTATACCCGAGTGCTCGTATTTATTCGTCTTCGTTGCGACATATTGAAAACAAACAGTCAGCTTTAGTTGTTATTTTAATTTATTATTGAACACGTGCGCTCGAGCAGAACCACTGTTCAAACGTTTACGGTGCTCCGATCGTGGACC